AAATGTTTTTCTCAAGTGCCTCTGGCACTTGATTTTGGAGCACTTCGGTTTTTTGTAAAACTTTCTAAGGAAAGTTTTTTTGGGGATTTTGATCTATACTGTTTTCGATAGAGAACTGCAAGGGCTATCGAAATCACTATTTAGATTTGATCTAGCTATTCGTCTTCATTGAAAAGTCTCAACGACAAAAGGGGCTATAATTTTGTTATACCCTGTATAGCTTTGTCTGTTTATACAAATAAGAGCCTAAAGCATTATTCGTTCAGACTTTTAACAAAATCTGAATTCTGAATTTTTCAATATGAAATATTTTATTTATTTTTTCTTCATATTGTGGTAAAAATGTTTACTATTACATAGAATCTAATGAAGCGTTCGGAAGTATTGATTAACATGTATGTTTTACCATACTTAAAATAGTCTTTATCGTCATCCTTATTAATCAGTTTATATATCACTCTGTCCTGTTTTCTCATGTAAATCTGTTAACATCCGTCAAAACAAAAAGAGAACAATGAATATTCGATATTTATTTATTTTTTTCTATAGAAAAATGTAATTATAAATGCAAAATGATAGAATTTATGAAATATCTTGATACACATATACGCCTATGAATGTTCATCAATTAAACGGTATAGTTTTAATCATTTCAATAGTAAACGAGATCATTTGTTTTTACATGTAATATTAACTAAAGGGTATACGCTAATTAAAAGAAGTTAATGTTCTGTTTTATTCAATATTTAGCTAAACTATATTTGTCCATATTATATTCATGCCTTTAATATTCATTTCAATGATATAATAAATTCAACAATTTATAGTTATAGGATTTGATGATTATCAATATGTAAAAGCTTCCATAGATATTGTTTTATTTTGTCCTTGAGATGTTTTTATTATAGCAAGTATTATTAAAATAGAAATTAATTTGAGTATATTGGATCAAACAAAAAAAAAAGAACATTCATCATACTAATGTTATCTTTATAGGATTTAAGTAATTCTATATAAGCGGATTCTCTTTAAGCTAAAAACGTATAGATGAAAGCTCCTGTCGCACAATGTCAAAGGAATTTAATAATCAATTGATTCATAGGGCAATTGTTAATATATTTAATTTTACAGATGATGAAGATATTTTGGTAAATTTATTTTTCACATGTTGTCAAAACTTCTTATCTTCTATTTTAATGACTAATTTTTGTAACTTCTTCGAATGATAGCAATGACTGATGTTATCTTGAAGATACTGTTATCATTATTATTCAAATACTTCTTGTTCTACATATTGTCGGACTTCCTCTTGGATACATCATGTTTATTTTCGCTCATAAAACTTTTCGTTTAAACAGACTAACTTAGTCTACTATAGGTCGTCATAGCTAGGTGACAACATTGTTCGACACGTATTCACAATGTACTATATTTCAAATCTTGATATCACTAATCATGAAATGACTCTAAACAAGTCACTAACGACGTTTTGTCTCAAATAACTCGTTCGACACGTTATGAAACATACACCTGCTCCTATGACTAGTAGTATGTGGTGATTTAGTGTTTAGGAGAAGCTTATGCACTTGAACGCAAGAACTATGAGTCAGACTAACTTTTTGTCTAGAGCTAAAAATTAGTATAAGTTGTAGAGAAGATGTTGCATGATAGAATCTGTCGTTATACAGTATCTGATGCTGTAAGATAGTCGGAAGGAAGGAGTACTCTTCCTTAGTAGCTGTGTAATTTTCTTTTAATTAATTGATATATACAAGTTATTTGTCTAGAAAAGCTGTTGACAATGTCATGTCATTTACAAGCTTTTATTGTTGACATGAATGCATTTCAAATGATTTATGCAATTTGTGTTTTCCCTTTCAATTGCTTATGCGTATGTTGATCATTAGCTTAATAAAGGCCTTGGTTGACTTGTTTTTTATAACTATTTATAATGTGGCAGTGTATAATATGTCCAGTTTTTGATACATACATAAATCAAGTCGACATAATCATGATGTAAACCATAACATAAACAAAAATGATACATCTTGCTACAGACATGTACGTGTTTCTAAAAACAACTTTATTAGCATTTTATGTTATAGTTATTGGTTGAATGCCAAGTTTACTTTTTTTTTTCTTTTTAAACAATTATTTATTAATGCTAAATATTTCTATTTTGAATTTGTTCTATGAGCAGCCAGTCTGTCGGAATATATATGATTTTTCTTATTTATATAAATTAATCAGTTCGTAACTTATGCAAAAAAAAACCATTTAAATGCAATAAAAAATTGAATATTTACATAGAAGATCCATTTTGCAATTATACTTTGTAGTATGTTCAAATCATGTTTATGATTGTATGATGATACTCTCCATAGAATGATATTTTCATGAGACCAAGATCAGATAAAACTTTTGAAAATAAAGATTGATTTCTTGGATCAATATTTCTCGTGATTATATCGGTCATACAAAAAGAATTAATTATAGACACAAAAACCTTCATATGAAAGTTTATCAAGTTCATGAATTTATATCTATGATAAAAATTTCTGTAAACTTTAATATCTTGATTATTATTAGAGCTATTCGTATGCTATCAAAGTAATGTTGAACTATGGTTTAGACATACATATATATCATCAATTATCATTTATTTTCGTCTAAAGATTTGAAAAGAATCTTTTTTGAAATAAATAAAATATCAGAATGAATGTACATTGACAATTTGATCAGTAAAACTTTTTATTTCTAAAATTAATTGTTTCGAACAGTATTGAGAGTGTTAAACTTTATATTGTCATATTTCCATAAGTTCGATCTTTTAAAACACATTAACTTCGTTTTCACAATAATGTTAACTGGTCATTTGTCGTTCGAGCTTTTTCTATCTAAGTAGTCAAGCAAAAATTCTAAATATATTCTGTTTTAATATGATTTTATTATATGAACATAGATTTATTTAATGTCGAAAAAAACGTTAATATAAATAATTATATCGATTCTTTTATTTTTATTATGGGCATTCAAAAAACATGTATATGCTTATTATTTAACCATAAAGTGGTCCTCGTCGTTTTCCAAGTATCCATCGTCGACCAAATAACGGTACACTACCATGTCGTCGTTTAGTAACAACAGGTAATTCATCATCATTCATATTGCTAGTGCTTGATACATCATTAATAAAATCATCATCATCATCATCATTTTTTTGTATGGTTGGTAATAATGATCGACCCATAAGTGGAGCTCGAAGACGTCGAATAGTATGTAATCGACGATTTTCATTATTATTAGTACGTCGAATAGGTGAAAGAAACGAATCTGTGTGTATTGTTTGCTAAGATTAAAATAGAAATAATTAAAGAATATAATTCTTCATCATTACCTGTAATACAAGAATCAAAACAAACAATAATACAGCAAAATACATGGCCATTTAAGTGAAATATTTAATCTACAATACAAAAAACAAAAAAGAAGAAGAAGAAGGAAGAAAAGTTTGATTTAATATTATTCTATAATATTGTTCTATTTATGTAAATGTAACTATTGTTGAAAAAGAAAGTGAATGTATTGCTCTTCAAGTCAACGAACACCTCTTCTATTAGACAAAAAGACTTTTGGAACATGTATTTATCTACTCTAAATAAGCAAACGCATAATATATCTCTCTGTTTTTTTTTCATTCCTAGATCGCACTTGTCACTCTATTCATACATATAGAACAACAATGAACAGAACCTTAAATGTAGAACAATAATAGAAAAAAAGAAAACGAATAATTATATACACTTGAATAAAAAATATCAATTGTAATCTTCAATAAGAAAGATAAAACAGAAAGTGAATTGACACTATCAAGTTTATGATCTCTCGGGTATTAAACTATAATTGAAATAAACACATAACAGGCATATGCTAATTAACATTCACAAAAAGTATGAGTTTATCAAAAACTTTCGAGACTTGTTTTTGACACAATATAAACAAGTTTTAATTTACCACGCATGTTGACTCTGCAAAAAAAATGTAGAGTTAATAACAAATTCTAAATGATCAGCATTGAAATGATTCATTGTATATTTGTTCTCTCCGGACGGTTTTTTTAATAATATTTCATAATGAAAAAGATGAAAACAAAAGAATGTAAGATTTCTCAGATTTTCACAAAGTGCATAACCATCTATGACTAGACAAGAATAATTTAAATTCTACATCGATTACACTTACATACTAATTGTTCGTGACTATAATGATCATATCATTAAATTAATCAGATTAATTATAATTAATTATACATGTGTTTTTAAAAGTTTGTCATATTTTCATTGAATGTAGCTGTTATATTGCCTGGTTTTTTTGACCTCATTTTTTGCCTCTTTTTGTATTTTTTAATTGAAGAAAATTCTCTCTCGATAGAACATCAGTTGCTTTAATTGACAAGAGATGACAGAAAAAAAAAAGAATAATTATAAATATAATAGAATAAAAATAAAGAGAGACCAGAAGAATTTATTATGTCCAAACATGTCTATCTTGACATAATTGTAAATGATTCTCATTCATAATATCAACAATTTTCTGTAATAAAAGATTGATGAGAAAATATTTATGTTTTATATTTAGATTGACTGACTTCATCGATACCATCTGTTATTTATTAATGTGAAAGGGAAAAGAACATCTATTCATATGAAACAAACGATATCTGATGAAGTAAGATTCTCTTGTATGAATCGCTGATCGAGCTTACATTCTTTTTTCTCCATAAGTAGGACGCAATGAAATTATTAGAAGTTAAGTTAGGTTGATTCCCACGTATTTTCCTTTCCGAGTTATTATTACTCTAATGAATTATGTTCTTACTTCCGACAAAGTATTCATAACGAAGTTACATTAAGAAATTGTAACACATAACCGTTGCTTGAATAGGCAATATTACGAGAAGAACATATCATTTAATTCGACTTCTTAATAAATATCTTGTTGAAGGTAGCAACAAAAAAAGTCAATAAAATAATAATAAAATTCGAGAAAGTATAGCACATGAGAATCAACCATTTCAGGTTGTAACTAGTCTCATCGAGTCTTACTTATGGAAAAAGATATCACCTCAACTGAAGATTGACACTTGAGGATCAACTCATGTGAGTCACTATGACCTTTAAAAAGATTCTATGTCTCATAATTATCTAGATTTTCTTCTGATATATATTATTAAATATAGACATTCCTTATTACGAAAGTAAACATTAAAATAAAATAGATTTATGTTCTCAAATTTTAGTAGTAGAAAATAATAATAAATGCGTTATATTAATATCCTTAAAATAGTCTTCTAACAAAATTAATAAAAAAAGAAAAAATTTTTTTCCCCATACACCATCACATATAATAATCATATCTTCGAAGGTATACTTCATGACATGTCTATTTATATTCGATCTTCAATCTTTATTATTATATTCACTCGCTTTGCGTAGTCGTTTAGATTACAACTCTCTGAACTTATTATCTCCTGCTGTTCACGATTATTTATGTCTACAGGTCTTTCTAATTTTACAACAATAAATGATTTAAATATCGCCTGTTAAAATAATAGAATAGTTCTGCATATACTAAATCTTTTTATATGTATTTTCATCTTATCTATGATCTTATGTAGATGAGTGAATTGAAATATTATTGTATCATTTCGAGAAAAAAAACGAACGAAAAAAAAAAGTTTATCCAAACTATCACTATTAATATAACTGAGATATGTAACGATCATTTAAAAGTGATGAAAATGACTGAATACGGATTCTTCACGGATATACGTCAAATAATTTCAGAAATATGAAAGTTTTTTTGCAAAATTCGTTAAAAAATACTTGAAATTATAGGTATAAAGGACTTTATTTGTTGTTACGACATACGACTGAAACTCAACGTTTGATAAATCTTAAGTATATAAAATTAATGATGTATTTTAAGTTATATATATTCATGAGTTGATGTTATTGGCACGAAATGAATTCCATAGAACGTGATTTCGAGCTAGCTCGTAGTAATTTTGCTAGCACTTAAGATAAAAAAAAAAACTTGAATAATATATAATATATTTATTTTGACCATAAATGTAAAGTCTTTTGCAAGTTATAATCTTGCATGATATAATAATAATAATAATACTACTTTTTCTTTTTCTTTTTCTCAAGAGCCATATGTTTTCTGTCACGCTGATAATTTTCCATAGTGAATAATCATAATGAGTCAAGAAAAATGCTTAAAGTGTCATCTCAAATTGCAATAATTGAAGAATGTTATAGGTCAAAAAAAGAAATGAAAAATCTTTTGTGACACTTAGCATGTCGATAAAATTTTCAAGCTTTTTTTTAAACCCTTTTGATAAACAAGAAAACAGTGCAATTTTGTTTTCTTGTTTTATTACGGATTTATTTTCAGTTTATTGACTTTCATTCAACAGCACACCGATTTATTTTTTGACGTTTTGTTAAATCTCACATGACAGAAAATCGAATAGTTATTGAGCATTTGAGATTCAGAAGAAAATATATATATAAATATAAATTATAATAAAAATACCAATGAATTTTACATTCGAAAAGTGCAAACTCTTTTCATTAATTTTGCCAAGTTTAAAAATTTAAATGATAAAAGAAGAAATTGGTTATACGACATGGTTTAATAGTAGATGATAACAAAATCAATCTTTTTGGCTCTATCTACTTAGTATTTTAGGATTTATCTAACTAAAGAAAGTTCCCAAATGTGAATCTCTATTGTCTTTGAGGAGTAAGATATCGATCTCAACTTCAGCAAAAATGACTGTAATGTGTTATTTAGAGAATTATAATTTTGATGTTAGTTTAGTTTTCAGCATTGAAAGTTTTAACACTGGATATGTCTTAATGTAAACTGTAGACATTCATATAATTGCCATAGACAGAACTCTTATCAATGTTTATACATTGAATATTTCGATATCATTAATATTGTTGATGTATGAAATTGAATTACTTTTTCAAGTCTGATTAAGATTATCGGGAAAAATCTATATTAAAGACATAGTAAATTAAAGTCATTGTTAGATATCTTATTTTCAGCAATTTCGACATCCAATTTTGTTATTTTCTCGCAAGTTTATGTGGAAAACTACAATAGACAAGACAGATTATTGAAACATGATCAACATGTATTTTTAAATTAATCTCCTAAATAGATAAAATATACAGATGAAATTAGATAAGTTTTGAAAAAATAGTTCAATATCGTACATTGACAATATTGATGGTATTGAAATATTCCAAGTATAGACATTGTTAGAAGTTCTATTTGTTTTAATTATGTGGATATGTTTAGTCAGTTAAGATGCATTCAGTGTTAAATTTCTTAAATAACACATTACAGGCATTCTGTTCAAGCTGAGATCGACCTTATTTCTCAAAAGACATTCAATGGAAAAGAAAATATCATGCTATCGTGATTAGCTCATTCAATCCTACCAACTGACATAAAGTCGAATGAGAGCAGCTACTCCCACATGACAACCTATAAGACAAACTTCTAATTTTCTAAGTGATAATGAAAATTCATCATAGGCGTGTAATCTGAAAAAATCATAAAGATTGATTTAAAAAAAATTCAAGATATGGAACGTTTTTTTTTTATATTAGATTATTACAATAGAATAAAGTTGCAATTCACTCATATATTCACTTGCTTATCATAATCGATAGTTATTCATCTAAATAGTGTCCGTCACATAGACAATAGAATCTCTGTTTCTGATTAGAACTTGATTTTTATATGCTTATGTTTTTACTTGAGTATTTTAGAAAAACAGCGAACAAATGTACTCAATTTGACGATCGATTAGGTACACAGCTTATCTATTCATAGGTGAAAGAAAATTTTTAGAAAGCTGAAAAACATAATCGAATTAAGAACAGTAAAATGATGTCTGTTTCTCGAATTCATAACAATAGCAATGTCCGCAATAAAATGTTCATGCAAAAGTTGCACCATATTAGAACGGGTCAAGTTAAATATGTAAAAGAACCATTTTTCTATATATTTACAATGACCAATTCTAATTCGATACAACTACATCCGCCATCCTATTGCGGATATTGCACTTATTATGAATTCAAGGAACAGAGATCATTCTACCATTCATAACTCAATTATTTTTTTCAGCTTTCTAAAAAATTCTTTCACCATTAGGTAGATAAGCGATGTACCTAATCAGCCGTAAAATTGAGTGTTATTTATTCACTTCTTCGTTAATGTATTAAAGAGGAAATATGAGCATATAAAAATCACGTTTTAACTATGAACATGCATTCTATGGGTCTATTCAAAGATAGTATAGATCAATTTTCTTGATTAATATGAATCATTTTCAACTGTCATGTTAACATTTTTCATCCAAATACAATTATATAGATTCTATGAGTTCTTATTCTCTTAATAAAATCATCGTAAAACTAATCAATTAAAAATATTTTTGTATAAAAAGAAGAAAAGAAACGACGCATTTATATATATTATTTCCATCGAAATAAAAGAAGTTTAAACAGTTGTTTTTGTTGTTTTATCTTTTTTTTTTGTGAAATATAATCTCCTATTTTTGTCTTTTATCAGTGATCAATATGTCATAACAATAGCAGAGAACTACATTTTTCAATATTTCTTTTGATAATAAAGACAGTTTCTACGAACTATAATGGACGGTTTAAATGCAGAAAGACAAGAGATTCGAGAAGATATTATGCCACTGCAAACATTTAGTTCTCGACGTCAACGTCAACACTTACAATTTTCACAAGAAGAAGAACAAGGACAACAACAACAACAAAAATCACAGTTCTCTTTGGAACCTTCTACACGAGCTACTCGTTTTTTATCTATTGCTGATCCATCTTTTCAATTGCCAGGTGCAAATCTCCTTCAATTGAATAATCATATTACAAATGTTAACAATTTATCAGTCTCAGAAGAAACAATTGATGAACTACTTGATAAAATACCATTCAAGTATGATCAATATTTAATTGAATATTAAAAAAATTATTATTTTTTTTTAATGCCAAAATTAGAATTGAAATAATTCCTGAACGACGAGATGATTTTAATGAAACAGAAAGCTTATTGGCAAAAAATCATAAAGAAACTATGAAAATACCAAAAGTTATACCAAGTGGTTTAAGTCAAGAACGTCGTTTAGAAATAATTGAAGATATTCTTAAACATTTAAATAAAAAAAATATAATTGATGAAATTCGTCGAGAAAACGCCATACCATTTCAATTACCAAAGTGAGAAATTATCATTGTAATAAGAAATTTTTATTGATTTTGTTTTTAAATAGAAATAATCAACTACAAAAAAATGTAGCTGAACGTATTCGAGATTTAACTGGAAGTGAAATAGTTATGCTTAATGATCATATTTATATGAAAAACTTATGTCAACGTATTGATGAAGAATATAAAGTAGAATATTTAATTTTCTTTAACTATATGTATATATATATAAAATTGTTTGTATATTTAGAAAGAACTTGAACAAAATTTAAAACGATTTGAACCAAATGAAAAAGTGTCGATTATTATTTGAAAATATTTTTTCAACTTGAATTTAATATTTATTTATTGAATAGTTAGATTGATTGAGTAGTTAATTTAATCAAGCAAAGAAAATTAAATATAATCATAATTAGAGTTTGTTTTTTTTTTCTTTTGAATCTCGTATCATAATGTGTTTGTAATCATTATTCATGCAACAAAACAAAGTTTTAGACAAAAAAAAAGAAAATCTTGTATTATTCTTAATATTCAATAAAAATGTTGTTGTTTTCTTAATTTATTCTTGAAGTTTATTCGTAAAATTTTTCAATCAATACCCAAATACTTGAAATATAGATTAATATCAACTACGAATACTTGTGTATTACGGATAACAAAAATATTAAATCATATGAAAAATTATGATTTATCTATATGTTGAGTTTTGTCCTAGAAATTTATTTTTGAGTGAATCATCTTGCATAAAATATAACCTTGTTACATAATGAAATAGATCGATAAGGAATAAAATATCAAAAGATAAAATAGATTTATTAAAATACATTAAAAAAAAGCAAAACTTGAATTATGTAAATATTTTGATTGACAGAAATAAAGTTAGATTAATTAAAATACAATACAAAAAAAACTAAATTATATAAATAGTGCTGATTGATAGCAATAATATTAGATAATGTATCCGTCTTTTTCTATCATCAATCGAATATCTATCTTATCTATCATGTTATATTCAATCAATATATATATTATAAAGTTATGCAGAAATTTTGTTTTAGATATTCAAAAAGCTTCGTGAACATTTTGTTTCATTTTCATGAATCATTCTTTGCATTCAAAGACATTGAAAAATATTATTTTTCGTCCTTTTTTTTTTCGTCGATTTATTAAGAATTATGAAAACAAAGACTAAATTTGATATTACATGATACACACAGCTCAAGGTATTTAACGTATTTTTTTGTTGATGTCAATATATGATCATGTACAAATATGCTGAATATTATCATTACATTTCAAGGTGAAAATACCAAAACGAAATAAGATCTTTATATCTAATTTACTTGCGTAGGAACAAAAAAGAAGAACTATAAAATCTTATTTCTTTTTTTTTTAAGTCAAAATATTTCTTTTGAGAAAAAAAATCACAAAAAATAAAAACGAGTAAAGAAATGCAACGTATAATATCTTTGATATTGATAAGTTTTACATTAATAAAAATTTCATTAGCAGGTTAATATAATGATAATCTTTTAGTTAGTTTAAATTTTGAATTCTTTATATAGTTCAATGTAATACAAATCCTTGTGAATTAAGTGGTAACTTTATACCACCTAATTATCAATGTATTCAAGCAACAGACAATTTTAATAATGTTATTTGTACATGTCCTGATGGTCATGTAGAAATAAATAGACGTTGTCGTAAGAATTTTTGTTCAATAAGATTTCAAATTTATAATAACTTAATTAATTATCATAGGCATTTGTGATTCGATTAATTGTGGTCTAAATGGTATTTGTATTGAAAGATCGTTTTTTGAAAATTTATATTATGTTTGTGGTTGTAATAATGGTACAAGTAATTATCTTAATCCTGGACCGTGTCCAAGTAAGAAAGAATGACATATGGTTTTAACTTAATAGTAGCTCGACTGGAAGATAGGAGTGTCAAGGATGTAACACTCTCATCAATTATAGAAAATTCTTATTTTTTCCCAGTTAGAAGAAAGATATTTTCCTTGTGCAAAAAAAATTGCGACACTTCTTCGCCTTCTCAATACTGATTGTTTCGGGCCACAACTCGCTTTTAATAGAAGTCTTATAAGAGATAAAATTATTATAAGAAATAACTAAGAATAATTAATAAATATCTATATAAATATAGATGCTAGTCCAGCAACAACAACGCCACCATTGTCTGTTGTATGTCTTAACGGTGGTAAGTAAAAGAACAAGATTTATATAGTATAATCACGTTTTCTATTGACATAATGAGGTACTTATAATCTGGCAACAGGCACATGTATTTGTCAAGCTGGTTTTACAGGTCGTTACTGTGAAATATCATCTGGTATGATTTTGCTTTCTCTCAGTATTTCTCTAAAAAGGATTAATTTTCTAGGTCAAACAACCTGTCAAAATGTAGTTTGTGCTAATGGTGGTGTTTGTAATCCAGTATCCTCAACTGAAAATGGAGTTGATATGCAATGTGTATGTTCAAATGGTATTAAAATATTGAATTTAGAGAAAAATAAATAAATAACGAATTCTTGTGTTTTTGTTCTCAACAGGTTTTGCTGGTCCAAATTGTGAATTAGTCGGTAAGAAAAACCAAAGAAAAAATTTCCTTTTAATATTGATTAGACAAAAATTTTTCTTTCTTTTAGGTGTATTTGGTCGATGTACACTTGGCCTCTGTCAAAATGGCGGTATTTGTGAAGAAAGAGTAAATGGTGCATCAATTTTTGCTTATTGCCGATGTCCATCTGGTTTTACTGGCCAATGTTGTCAAACGCGTAAGTAGAAAAAAACAGATAAATCAAGAATAAAATTATAGAAAAACAAAAAAAAAATTTTATTTTAATTTCTATTATAGCATATTTTTCATGTCCAGCTCCAGGTGTATATGCTGATCCAATAAATTGTAAATTTGGTCGATATTTTCAATGTAATGGTTACACGCTATCAACACTTTCATGTCCCAGAGGTCTTCGATATAATTTTATGAAGATGCGATGTGATTCAGATGTTTCCTGTCCACCATAAAAAACAAAAGAAATACTGATAAGATAACATTCATCATGAAATAAAAAGAATGTTGTTGTAGTTGCTTGTAATTTTTTTGTCTTTGTGTTTTCTATTTCAATAATAAAAATTGATTGAAGACAATTTGACATGATTATATATAATTATGAAATATTCAACATGAATCTATTATTATTCATTTTGAAAGAAATTCTAAAGGTTCGTGTCGTCTTTTGTATGGAAATATACATGATTGAATTATAGATAAGTGCTATTTATTTTCCACGGTTATTTTCTCGCATATATGTCCTTGTTGTGAATGAAATAAATGGAAGAAAAAGAGAAGAAGAATCGAATACATTTAATATAGAAATATGACCTAAGCAAAAGGAGATGATATCATAGTATCTTCTTCTTTCTCTCCTTCTTCTTGTTCTTCTTGTTCTGTTTGCTCTTGTAGATCCATTTGTGTTTTCTTCTGTTGGCAGTAGAGTTAGAGTAATTGCTGTTCTTTCTTTCCACTTTGTGCATTGAAGGAGAAAAGACCGGTGTCGAGTTGTTGTTGTTGCTGATGTTACTGCTATAGTTTTGCCATCATATAAGCATATTAATAAGGCGCGGGAGGAGAAAAGCGGTTACTGTTAAAGCATTGCTACTGGGCGCGAACGGCTGTATGATTCCACCAAATGATGCCTATGTATTATTACCAATAAAGAGGGGGAGGTCTCTTTTCTTCGTCTATCTATCGCTTCGTGTATCTTTCTTTTTACTCTAAGTATGGTTTCTTTCACAATGCTTTCATGTTGTAGACAGCTGCCAACAAGATTCAAGCTATTATAGAAATTGTCTAATATTTAGCTAATGCTCATAGGTTTGTCATAGTTGTTATTTTTATTTAATGATTAAAAAAAAAACAAAAAAAAGTCGAGAGCTAACAGAAAAAGTTTGACATTCATATAAACAAAAAAAAAAAAGTTTCTTTTTTTTCCATTTGGATCTCGAATCAAATTAGAATAATATTGATTGACTTTCTCTTTGATTTGTTTCTGTCGAAGGCAATAACACAACAAAAAAAAAAAAGAAGCTATTTAATAACTACTATTGTATTTATATATTATATTTAAGGCAACATATTTTTTTTTGTTTTGTTTCTGTTTTGCTTCATTTAGTAAATAACATTTTAATATTTATAAATGGATACGAATAACAGTAACACATCGATTAGTAAAACAAGTTTAGCTGATTCATGTTCAGGTGAACGTTATTGGTTTGCTTTTCTTTTGTCAAGTCTTGCAACATTTCTTATTGGTGTCATTGCTATTCTCCTTTGGCGTTGTGGTGCTTTAATTTATAAACGTGGACCAACAATAAGACATCGATCACTACGGTTAGTATCAAATCCTGACAAACAAGAAATATCATATTCATTTGATGCAATTAATGAACGTAATTGGGCAACAATAATCAAAGAATATGCAGCTAAACTAATATCTGGTCAACAAATGCCTGGAAAAATTCTTGTATATATTATAAAAATAAACAAAACAATTGATTTATCTGATATCTTTTATAGGTTATTGCTGTGGTTATCTTAAGTTTAGCTTCGTTATTTATTTATTTCTATGATGTAAACACACAGTAAGAAAATATAAATCAAAAAAATATATAGATTTATGTGATTTGTATTTTTTCTTTCTGTCTTTTTTTTTATATTTTGTTCTCTATAGACCAATTGAATCATGTCAATTATGGTCACAAAGTCCAACACAACAAATCGATTTAGTCTTTAATATTTTTTTTCTTTTCTATTTTTTTCTTCGAGTATGATTTATTGTTTAATTAAAAACCCATAAAAAACACAAAAAAGAAAATATTTTGTATTATTTTAATAGTTTATTGCTGCACAAGATAAACTTCGATTTTGGTGTTTGGATATTCATTCATGGGTTGATTATTTTACTATTCCACCATCATTTACTGCTATTGTTCTTGGCCGAAATTGGATTGGTATGTAAAAATTATATTCTATTTTATATAATCTATTTGTTAATAGGAATGCGATTCTTTCGTATTGCACGAATTATGAATATTCCTGACATACTTCAATTTTTACACATACTCCGTAGTAGTAATTCAATTCGATTAACACGCGTATTATGTCTTCTTTTTACTGTATGGTTATCAGCAGCTGGTTTTGTGCATTTGGTATTATTATTGTTCTTTTATTAAACAAAAAACAAAAGAATGATTTTTATAAAATATATATATATATAGGTGGAAAATTCAGGCGATTTCTTTCAAGATTATTCAAATTCACAGCCAATAACTTATTTCCAATGTGTCTATTTTCTTATCGTCACAATGAGGTAAGAATAATGATAAGTAAATAGTTCGATCTATGGAAATGTCCTTATTCTATGACAATGATACGAGAGATTGAGATTCATTAACATTTACATTTGTAGAATGCAAAAAAAAAAAAAAGAGGAAAATCTTTGTCTGTTCTCTTATTGTGTCATATGCTTGATGTTGCACTTGTTTTATTGTGTCTGATTTAGTTAATATATTCAAAGCTTTCTTTTTTTAGCTCAAAATTAGACTATTTGCTCTTCAAAAATAATACATGAATCCTTTCGCATGGTCTATTTTTATCAAATTATTTGAGTTATTGCAAATTAAATTTTCTATTACAAGAATTTCTATTTAGCTCGGTATAAATTGATTAATTAATGCTATACGAAACACAATATTTCTATAGTCGGTCGTATATACAGTCGGCTTCCATATTTTGCGTGTTTTTGCATACGTCACAAAATCTGTTTTTTTTTGCCTCACAGTGATCTAGAGAACAGCGAACGGCTAGGAGCTCGTTCGAACTTTGCCAAAGAGATAGATCTTTCGAGATCATACAAATATTTTTGAAACTTCAATATGAGTTATTGTTCATCGGCAATAAGTTTTGCAAAACGACGATTTAGTCTCCAGTTTTTGTCTGAAATAATTAAAAGTGATGAGCTAGTGTCTCGTGCTAGCTTTTAATGTAAACTTCATGGGCAAAATTTAAAATCGCTTCGTACTGTATTTATGTTAGTACTTTGGGAATTCTCTGTTTTTCTTTTTCCTGCTAGATGTACATATTCAAAGTTCTTATAATCTATTATAATGATTTCGAAAACAAGAAGTTAGAAAATACTTTTTTAAATGTAACGATGAAATTTCATCATCGACTCTATACAATTCGTTTTTCTCAATCTTCAAACTGTACATTCCATTTTCCTAGAGAAAGCCAAACAAAAAGAAGGCAAATTTTTGTAGACTTAGCTTCTTTTCAAACTTTGAGATAATTGAAACGATGACAAGTTGATTTAATTCAACAAAGCTATATGAAAAGTTGCTAATAGCTAATGAATCATATAGATAATTAAGTGATAAATTCACAACGTTCTGTAAAAATTTGTTGATATACGTTGATAGAATTCTCGTAGTAATCTACTTTGTCATTGAAATGTAGAAAATTTCAATTTCCGATAAGAATGACACCAAAGGAACTCGTTACTGTAAACTGTAATTATCGCTGACGATAAACTGTTCTATAATGAATCCTAAAAACGATTATGTATTGTTTATGAGATATTGAGTTTTTTCGACGATCGACATGCGTAGTTCCGTACCGCATTTCTTAGTCGAATGAAACTTGAATATCATGTAGTTTCATGGAGAATTTCCTATATTTTCTAGTTAATCAAAGATCATTATTACATCTAGTATTGACGAGTCTCGATACTTATATTAATCTCAAGAAAAATGACTCAGTTCAAAGGTTTCTCTTTTATTTAAATAAAATATTTCGTGGAAGACTAAACAAAGAATCTTTTTTTAATAAAAAAAAAAACAAAATTCTATTTCTATCTAGTGGTAAATGCAAAGAATGTCTATTCATATTTTTCTAATTGGATGTAACAAACATAGGTTTGTATTTACTTTGGAAAGATTATAAAACACATCTTAACTAGGAATACATCTATGTTCTACAGGTATCTCATATTCACCTTAAAAAAAACAATACAAAGCTTAAAGTTTTCAATTCTTTTCTTTATAATGATATAAATGTATTTAATTGTTATTTTTAGCACTGTCGGCTACGGCGATTACCAATTGAGAACAGTTCGTATTAGTTAGTACAAATGAATGTCTGCGCGTGTGTGAATGTGATTGTATATGATATCAGAAAAATTGAAATTTAGAACAATTTAAAATTTCTCAAAAGTAAATTTTTCCTATAAGTCAATTTCAAATTCTCGTAAATAACAGATAAACATACGATTATATCTGTTCTTTTTTGAGAAAATATAGTGTAAATAATATCATAATTTCGTCCTTGATAATAATAAAGAAAAAGAAGAAACTATAAGAATTTCTTTTTTTAGCAATTTATTTTTAGTAGAATTAGAAAAGTACTATAGATTGAAAGAGTTATTTCTCATTGTCAATTAGATCTTTTGACATTTTTAGATTCATTTTCATCTTCACTCTTACTCGTATTCTCTTTTCATTCGATAATAAAATTAATATTAAAGCTTATAAAAAATTTCGAAACGAAAAAATACTTTATTTATTCTATTCGTATTCGTTTCTATACTTGTCTAATTAAAATTAAATAACAGAGGTGACACATAAAAAAATGGAACTCTCAATATTACAATAAAACGAATAGATTTAGAATAGGTTACTACAAAAAAAAAATATTTCTTTGAATTATACAATACTTCAATCAATTATCGATCTGAAACTAGCTTTAATATAGTCTTGAGAAGGATGAAAGGCTGAACTGTTAATCAATAAAACATAAATTATCACAATGGTTTTGCAACTGTGTATATATGACCATCTTTGATATTCTTGTGCTTTTTAGATCATAGAAGATGATGTTGCTTTTTTCTTTTGACAAAACAAACTATCGGGATACTTTTTCTAGATATGAAAGATGATCAACATTCCTTTATACATAAACCAAAATCAAAAGAATATCTAAGATGATCTATGCAGAATATTTCAAAGAAGTTTTACTAATTTCCATCCTATTGATTAATAATAATAGAAAAAGAAACCCTGATAAAATCACTCTGGAGAATCTAATAGAACAAGCTTGATAAAAAAAAGAATTTTGAAAGTGACATATTCTGTAATCTATTCATTTCATTGAGTATAAACAAAAATAAGGTATTCTTTTCTGTTTAAGTAAAAGATGCAAATTTCTCGAGAATCAAACGAAGAATCAATCAAAATAAATATTATCTCGTTATGTTGAAAGGCTGTTGAGGGATATGGAAAGTACTGATAGGTCTTTTCTCTAGGGACCATCCGTTATTTTTTTGCATAGATAATATAATAATATTTATATTGATAGAAAATATTTATCAAACAGAAATAAACTTATGTTTATTATTATTTAAAGAAATATTAAATTGTTCGAAAATTTTAATTTCTCTCGGTAACATATAAATAATTATAATTTCCTTTTAGGTATCTTCTACAATCAATGTATAATTATGTATTTGTTTTCTATAGACGACCGGTCAATGTTTTATAATATTCTTCATAACTGGTGGTCTCGCACTATTTGCTCGTGCTATACCAGAATTAGCAGAAATGTTATCAAATAAAAAAAAATACGCTGGAAATTATAGATTAGAAGATGGCAAAAAGTAGGAAAATGATATTCTTAAAGAAATTCTTATTTATATAAAAATAATAAATAAAAATTTCAGATTTGTTCTTGTTTGTGGTCATATTACATTTACATCAATGGAAAATTTTCTTAAAGATTTTTTACATGAAGATCGTGTTAGTTCAGATAGTTTTTATGATGCTGATGTACTTATTGTTGATAAGTAATAAGAGATAAAAAGAACTATATTTTTAGTTATTTATTATTCTAATATATATATATTTATATTTATATTTATATAGAAAACATACAGTTGATTTTGAATTTCAAGCATTACTTAAACGTCATTTTACACGTGTAAAATATTTTGATGCTACTGTTATGGATCCTGTTGATTTAGAACGAGTTAAAGTAATCGATTAGATTTTATTAGAATTTTAAAAAATAAAAAAACAAAATTTCATTTTAAAAAATAATAATAAATTAGATAAAACGATCTGCAGCTGTTTTAATCTTAGCAAATAAAGATGCTATTGATCCTGATGGTGAAGATGCAAGTAATATTATGCGTGTAATTAGTATTAAAAATTATCATTCAGAAGCAAAAATAATCGTTCAACTTTTACAATATCATAATAAAGTATTAATAAAAATAACATGCATTGTTGTTTAGTTCTTTTTTTTATATCTAAAACATATTTTATAGATGCATTTAATGAATATCCCAGCATGGAATAATAATACAGATGAAGCTGTATGTATTGCTGGTAAGAAGATAAGAAAATACATCGTGTTTTCTTTTGCTGCTGGATTCATCTACATATGTTCTTTTTTGTGCCTAGAGTTAAAATTAGGTTTAATTGCTGAAAGTTGTCTTAATCCAGGGTTTTCAACAATGATAGCTAATATTTTTGCAATGCGGTCGGATACAGAAGTAAGTAAATATTTCAAAAACTCAATGAGTTTCGATTGAAATAAATATATGAAACGATAGATAAAATAAATAAAGAAAGAAAAACAAAAAAAACTAACTTTTCTAGGTAGCTGGAAAATTAACTGGATCGGTAAAATTGTTTGTTGTTTTGCATTTGCTACATTGTTATTGCATGAAAATAAATTTATTTTTTACTTCTATATCATTAAATAAGAATTTGTTTTTTATAAATTTAGAGTTCACGTAATCGATCTATTTGGTTAAAAGAATATCTTCGAGGTGCTTCACTTGAAATGTATACAGAAACATTATCAACTTATTTTGTACATGATTTAAAAAATTTTAGTGAAGCTGCTAGGTTAGAGAGAAAACTAAATTTTTTAATGAAATTTTTTTTATTTTTATTAAAAATTTTTAGATTTTGTCTAGTTCAACTTAATATACTTTTATTTGCTATTGAAGTTTGTGAAGAAAGTGGTCAAAGAAGATTAGCTATTAATCCTGATCGAACATCTAAATATTTTCGAATTGCTAAACGAACAAGAGGATTCTTTTTAGCTGGAAGTTCAGAAGAAGCATCAAGGTAATTTTCTTTCTAATAATTAGATTTACATTTGAAGGATCGTTTATTGTTCTTATATTTAAAATTAACGAAAGTAGAATTCAATGAATCATTTTCCAGCTAAATTGAAATTTTTTTTTTGCATATCAATAACACAAGCTCATAAGAATTCGAATAGTGATTTGAATAGAAAATTTCATTCAGAATAAGAATTTTTGAAGATGAAAATAATTTATATATTTTCTAAGAATAGACACTCTCGGAGAAAACAAAACTCAAGTTTTCCACCCCTAGAATTCGCAAATAGAATTCTGATCAAATTACTTAGAATGGTAGAACAAATGGTTCTCTACAAAATAAAACATCTTCCAGCTCTCTATGACGTTTATTTAACCAGCTACATCAACCATACGGACAGCACAAAAATCACTGTTTCTGTTATTTCGTATAAAAATATTATAGTTTGTGTCTTCCTTATGGCTGATGCATCTAGGTCAAAAAACGTCGCCGAGAGCTGGAAGATAATGCATTCTATAGAGAATCATGTAATTCAAACAGAATTCCATTTGCTGATTCTCGGAGCTGAAAAATTTGAGTTTTGATTGTTTAGAGATCCTATTCGTATGAAACTACCAATCACCTTTCATCTTGGAAATTTGCTTTTTTATGAGAAATAAAATTTTCTACTCAAATGACTATTTAGACTCTTATAGCGTTTAAGATAGTGGAAAACAATTGAAAATAAACCTCAAGAAGCATACATAAATTAAAAAAATAATTATGAATTTAATTTCTTCTATCTAGAGCTCGTTATTATTGTCGTCATTGTCATTATGAACAAAAACCTGAATCTATTCGTAAATGTATTCATTATCGCATTGAAGGTAAATCATATGATGACCTCACTCTCGTCCTTTCAAAAAAAAATCGATTTGTTTAAAATAAGACACTTTTTGAAATAAAACATATAAGCATAACCCCTACAATGTCTAGTTTGAAAATTCGTAATAACAACTTCCAATTTTAAAAGATTTCTTCAGAAATCATGATGAGTTTCTAGAGCTTCTCAACAAAAATGCCAATATCATATCCGTAGCAAAATTACCAGCGCTATTGCAGTTATGGTCCCTTATCGTATTTTTATGTGTAGCTGGAAGACCACTTGATAAGACCCTAGGTGAATTCTTTTAGGTAAATTTTTTTTTTAAATATTCGCGCATTTTTCTTGACATTAGTTTTTTTGCACAAATTATTGAAAAACCGGACATAGTTCTTTTCGATAATGTATATTCTAGTGAACGGTGAATTTTTTATTTAATAAATAAATACATTCACTTTCAATTGAGAGAAAAGGAGTATTTATTCGAGCCTCAATATCAGAGCAATCAAGGATTTTCTAGAAAACATCACCTAATATATTTTTTTGAGTTGTCAAATTTTGAGAGCCTCAAAAATAAAGTAAAATAAATATTTAAAAATCCTTTCTCTCATTCGAAATGGTAAGAAGTTTTCTTTTAAATGAGAGTAGTCCGAACGCTGTAGCTTGAAGTCTATTGAAAAACAACAGTAGTGCATATGAACGGTAAGGTTCCGAGTCGTGAAAATTCTCTGTAATAGTGTATTTTCATTAGTCGAACATCTTCAGAATGTTTCATGAAAATTCCATGCACTTTATCGAAAATCGATTTTTAAGGAGAGGGTGAGGCCTTAAATTCTTCTATATATATATATATATTTATTTTCTTATTTCTTTTGTTTCTTTTTTATAATATTTAAAAGATACATCTAGTGGCATAAAAGCACGTAGGTCATTGAAGAATTTATTTATTTATATGTGTATGTTTTTCTTTATTAAGGACGTGAAATTTCAAGACCACGTTCTGAAAGTATTACAACGTATGTTGATTGATTTAATAATCTAATAAAATAATTTCTATTATAACTAATAGATGTCAATATCCACCTATTCAATATGCAGTAAAACCATTTTGTTTTGATACAACTGGAATGTTTTATTGGTGTCCAACACAAAATTTAGAACAACAATCAATTGTATGAAATTAATTAAATATAATTTTCTTGTTCTTCCCATTATTTTAATATACAAAAAAAAAACAATTTTATTTAGGATATTCGAGTTAAATGTGAATTATCACATCATGTTATTTGTTGTATATTTGCTGAAGAATCATCACCTGTTATTGGTTTACGTAGTTTTGTTATGCCATTACGTGCATCAAATTTTGATGAAAATGAACTTAAACCAATTGTATTTATTGGTAATAGTATTTTTTTAAGAAAAGAATGGAGACATATATGTAACTTTCCAAAAGTTTATGTTGTTGATGTATGTTATAGTTTTATTTTATTTAATACATATATATAAATATATTATTATTATTATTCTCAAGGGTTCACCAAATGATCGTGCTACATTACGTGCTATAAATATACATTTATGTGATATGTGTGTTATATTATCATCATCAGCATCACATAATGATCAACGACAAGATCGATATTTAACTGATAAAGCAGCAATACTTTGTTCGTTAAATATAAAAGCTATGAGTTTTGATACTGAATGTACATCAACAGATAAACGTAATGGAACATCAATTCCACTTATAACAGAACTTAGTTCGTATATTATTATTTAATGAAAAATTAATATTTTATTTTTTTATTTTTTTAAGAAAATGATACAAATGTTGTTTTTCTTGATCAAGATGATGATGATGATCCAAATATTGATCTTTATATGACACAACCATTTGCATGTGGAACATCATTTGCTATTAGTGTTTTAGATTCATTAATGAGTGCAACTTATTTTAATGAAAATGCTTTAACTATTCTTCGAGGTATAATTATTAAATGAGTTAGATTATTATTATTATTATTATTTGTAGCATTAATAACTGGAGGTGCAACGCCAGAATTAGAAAAAATCCTAGCCGAAGGTGCAGGTATGACACAAGGTTCTAATTCAAAAGAAGTATTGAATAATCGACGACGACCACGTGTTGTTCTATTACCTGTTGAAAATCTTATTATTAATGAAGCATATAATACACAACAAAATTCTTCTATTGTGATGGATGCATTTTGGGATGATGTTAGTATTTAGTTTGCCTTTTTTTTTTGTTTTTAATGTTATGAATTTATTTACGACAAGAAAATTTGTTTTTTTCTTCATTTAGAATCCAACATATGGAGATTTATTTGTAAATTTATTAATTCATCGAGATTGGCTATGTCTTGGTCTTTATCGTCTTCATGATAATCCTTCTACTCGTCCGATATCACACTCAAATAAACGTGTTGTTATTTGTAGTCCGCCACGAGAATTTCCTTTACTTAAAACTGATTTAGTAAAAACAAAATGAAATGAATTATTATTTAATCTTACTTTTCTTCTTTTTTTTCTTCATAGATTTACGTGATACAACAATTTCAACCAAGATATGATCCTCCATTGAATATAGAACCAGAACCAATTAAACCTATTGATGATAATAAACAATCAAATATTGTACCTGAAGCACTGAATACAGTCATACACATGCCATATACAATAGTTACTAAAATGACTCCGATCACAGATGACATTACTATAAATGATAATGATAAAATATAATTTTTTGTGTTTTCTTTTTCTTTTTCTTTTTTTGTTTTATTAAATAAAAACTAAATATGTGTTTTGCTAAAAAAACAACAAAATGATTGTTCTTTTACTTTTCTTTTTGCTTTCACATATGTGATTATTGAAAAGAAAAATAAAGGTGGTTAATGGTACGTTACGGGAAAAGTATAGGTGTCATCATGATTGAATTAATGAGTGAGAACCGCCTTGTTTTTTTTCTTTTTCTCTCATTTATTCTCTTGTATAAAGATGCTGGTCGTGGACGATCAAACAAGCACAGTAGAAAGCAATCAAGCACAACCACCATTGACTTTCGCTTTCATATTTAAGTGTCTAATCAAGACTGATGATGATCATGAAATGAGTTTTCATGTGTATTGCATGGCAAAATTCAACACGATTTCCGGCACACGCTATGTATGCTTCGACTATCTTCAGTGCAATTTCCGACGCACGCTCTTTTTTCTATTTTTGACATCGGTTTTTGCAGGTGAATATAATCTCAGTCGTTTTATTCGATATCCTCCATTTGACAGTTATTCTATTTGTGAATACATCATATATATTTTCGTGATAACAAATATGCGCAAATTAAAATAGCGGTACTTGTTTCATAGTATAGTTTTTCTTTTTTCTTTTTGTATCAATGACAGACTCAACAACGACAAATCATTATCGGTAGTCTTTCGTCTTTCTTTTTTTCTTTAACATAACAAAGAAAAGAGTAACAGTAGTGGTCAACAGAGTGAGACGACGTTTGAAGAAACATATGCGGCTGGTGCTGATTGTTGCGCCAGTGAACCGACACGAAGAGCAATATTTCACTTCACACGCTCATAGTTATAAAGAGAAGGAGAGAGAGAAGAAAAAAAACTATTAAAGAAAACGAAGTAAAATCTCGACCGAACGGACATCTGGTGCGATAGGGTAATATCATAAACCATAGACAACATAAACTCGGATTGGTTCTTATTTAAAGTATATATTGTATTGTATATGAATCATAAAATTGAAATAATACAATTCAAAATGGTACCTGTCTTATAACAAATTTTCAAAAAAGAAATCATCTTTTGTTGATGAAATTTTTTTTCCAACTTTTCATAGTAGATAATATCAACAGTAAATCAATGCTTCTTTAAATTAACTGGTTTCTGTAGCTATGCAACTCGAAAATCGTAGGTAGTTAGGTGGTATCCTATGGTCTTAGGAGAAGTTTGTGAAATATAGTGTCAATGGTGTTTTTCTTCTTGTGATAGAGCGGCGCCCAGTCTAATTCACTCTTGATTACGCCACTAATGTCCGCACCAGAATAAAAGAGAGATGGATGTGAGCTCATCAACTCGTCGATACGTAACAGCTATTGATCGGCGGTATTCAGCAGTCGAAAGAACAGAACTCTGAATGTCTTTTTTTCAAACTTTTGCAAAGATGATGGATTGAAGAACGATCTTATCTTATATAGTATCATAGAAGAAGACGTTCGAATTTCTGCTCTTACAATTGCTGAAAATCAAAAATCGATAGTTGTTGTCGAATTATTGAGGTTACATCGATCCCTCTTTAATTATGATGTGGATACTAGTTTGTTAACCATATAACCATTTCTTCACATTTTCATAATTATTCTACTATTGACCTCGATAAGTAAAATATTGAGATAAGCATATAAATTTATTATTCCCTAGAATACAAAAATCTCTTATTTTAACACATCGTTTTAACATATTGAATTCACTATATGAGAATGACGCTTGTTTAAAATGGTTCAACGCCTTCATCTTTTCCTTTTCGAAGATTTTGATTTGTTAAAAAAATATTTCACTTTTACACTATCAATATGTGTGAGAAGAGCGTGTCATGTATGAGAATTGCAACTATCTTTTTTTTTTCCATTTCTTTCTCTCTCCCACATAGTTTTTCTTCTTATTTTTATCCAATGAAAAAATGCATACAATAAACCAATGAAAATAGAGTTTCTTCTTTTTCTTTTTCTGTCTTTTTTTGCGCATGTAACAGAAATCACACAGTAGGAGAACATTATTTTATTTCATCTATCAAATCAAGTGACATCATCTTTGAAAAGCTTAAAAAAAAAACTAAAGATGAAAAGCAAATTGTATGTACCGGGTGTTGGTAAGTATATATATATATATTGTCTTACGTCATGATTGGTCATCATTGAAAGATGATTTTTATATTAGGTCAAGCAGGAGTTAATCAACTTGGTGGTGTTTTTGTTAATGGTCGTCCATTACCTGATCATGTTCGTCAACAAATTGTTGAATTAGCATTACTTGGAATTCGTCCATGTGATATATCAAGGAAATTACTTGTTTCACATGGTTGTGTTTCGAAAATTTTAACAAGATTTTATGAAACAGGTTCGATTCGACCAGGATCAATTAATGGTGGAAGTGGACGGCATTCAAAAGTAAACTTTACAAATTTTTATAATAGTAGCAGAATGGTTGAGTTCTCTTCAGAAATCTTTGAGCTTTCTCTAGAAATGAAATGATCAGGGGCGTAAGTCGGTACAGAAGGCAGGGGGGTCGTAGCATCGACAAGCACTAGAATTAGGGGGTTACATGCTCAAATTTTAAAAGCAGGGGGGAGGCACTGCCATAGAGAATTTCAGAAGTAGGGGGGGGGGGGGGGGGTTACGCCCAACGCGCCCCACCCTATTTACGCCCCCTGGAAATGATCAATATAAAATAGGTGCTATTCAGTTTTAAACAAGCTCTGAGTTCTGCCAATAATTGTTTTTCTGTCTCGATGACTAATTTTATGATGAAACTATTTTTTAATCGTTTGTTTTTCGTTTTAGAAAAGCTATGATACTCGAGTTGAAATCAATAAATGCCAGGTTAATAGATAGTTAATAAGATTTTCATGAAAAAACATCGAAGATTTTTTTTTTGTTTCGTTATCTTTTAATAGAATGTTGGTATTTCATCATCATCACATAAATCAATTGACAATAAAGAATTATCATCAACTCGGTAAAGTTTTTTAAATTTAGAATATAAATTTATAATTTATTAAAAAAAAACTAATAGGAATTATCGATCATTTCCAACAAGTTCTAATCATCTTCCATCAAATCCATATTCAACATCACGATATTTTTCATTTCACCATTCTAATCCATTTTTTTTTCAACATCGGCCGCCACCACCACCACCACCGCCACCACTTAATCCACCATCAGATGAAATTGATGAATCTAATGAATCCGACGACAATGATGATGATGATGACGATGATAATAGTTCAATATTATCAATAGAACCAAAACCAAATTCATCATCATCATCACTTATAAAACATTCAATTGAAAATATTTTATCAAATAAAGTAACAATAAAAACTAAACGACCATTATCATCATCTTCAAATTGTATGTTAAATTAAATTAAATTAAATTATTTCAAATCATTTATTTTGTCTTTTTTGTTTTAATCATCTACTTATTTTTAGCATCACATGATGAACAAACAACTAACAAACGTCGAAAATTTATTGCATGTTAATATGAACATACTTCATTGTCATCTTGCTTGTTTGTTTCTTTCTTTTTCTTGATTTCATTCTACTCTATAACATACATTTTTCTTTTGTGTTTCGAAAACAGTATATAGAATAAAATGGGAAACAAATATATAAATAGATAGATATATATATATATTATTTCTTTCTTAAATTCCTATTCATTAGAAAAAAAAAAAGAAGTGCTGGTTAATTGACATTATTAGTATCGGTTTTTTTTTCTCGATCGAGTCTCACGCAAATGACAAATAACATTGTAGGGGAGGAGTGCTCTCCAATTAAGGTATACCTTAGTGTGAGTGGCACCTGAATGTATATATGTGTCGATGTTGATCGCAATCAGAACTCTGATGACGTGATAGTGAGGCAACTAACTGCTTGAGACAATTAGACGAAGTATGGATATTGGAAAAGACCACTTGCTGATCAAGTGTCAACGAAGATAGACATGCACGACACAGTTGCATTTGCGTTTTTTTTTTCTCTCTCGATTTTTGATTATCAGATCGATCAGTGATCAGTAATGATTGTAATGAATATAAGAATTAGTGTTTCATTAACTATGTTGAGTTCAACAATTAATGAACATACGGTATTAGAAAAAAATGTTAATATAAATTTTGAAATTATTTTATTATATTTTAATAGATCGGAGAAAAAATAATTGTCAAAAAAGACTGAATAAATTGATTGGATATTTTATTGATAGAATGCAAAGTTTACTTTTTTTTTTTTTTTTACAAATATCTATGATGATCATTAAGCATTAGAATATAAAAATGTATTTGTAAGTTACGATAAATTTTGATTCGATCGCAAAAATAAAATGAACCAATCCTATTCTAGTCGAAAATGAGTTGGAGAAAAGAGGTTGTACATCTTATTGTTGAAATGAATATCACTGAAATAGAGGTCATCGATTTAAAGATAGTCAAATCATGAGTTTCATGTCAATGATCATTCTTTACGTTCACTCTTTTTTTAATATTTATAATATAGATATTCATATGTATAGCATTTATTCAACTATGATACATGCATCATGAATTACAAGTTGGCATTTTCTTACAAGAGAAGTAGTTCAATTAATAAATTGCTTTTAAGTTGAAATTATGTGTGTTATGTAGAACCTAAATGAACTATGAATGCTCTGAAAAGAGTTCATGTCTTTAGCTTACTACGCAGGTGATACTGCACTTTTTTAGTATTGTTTACATAAGTATCGTGGTAACAAAAAATTGATTTTCGAATTTTGATTAGAAACTTTGCATAGAGACAGACATTAACGAGAACCATGTTTTGTGAATATTTCAGATCTTATCACTGGTTCTATCGTACGATACAACTATGGTAATATAGCGTGTATTTTACATCGTTCTTATAAACCGGTCGATTTGACATTCTTATTTCAGAATAGAAACAAATGAAAAGACTTGAAACTTTCACAATCAAATATTCTCGTTAAGTCATGTTTCTGTACAAAGTTTCAAGTCAAAAATCGAAATGAACATAGTCTCGACTTATAAGCGATTTATCAGTTGAAGAACTCACCTTATTATTTACTAACATAGGCATAAAGTTATTGAGCTACCAGCTTAGCTACTAATTTAATTTAGTTCTTAGAACAACTTATGAACCTTATTTCTAACTTAGCTTACGAGTTTATTAAGTTAATGACTTAAGTTAATTATTAATTTGGCAGATCACTATAATTACTTAGTACAATTTGTACCAATTCTCATATCATTAGAACGTTTCTAATACTATAGGTGTCGTCTCAAAATATTGCGGATAGCTTTCGTTATCGAAATGCAAATCACCGAAAGTAGGCGTTGCCGATAGGTGTGTCGCTAATATGAAAACTATCGAATTTCAGCGAACAGCATACTGATCAAATCTCTTTCGTATTGTTTCAATGTAGTAGTGGTGGAATTAGAAAAAATTTTTAGGGAGACACAGCACTCGTTCAAAGTTGAAAAGCAGATATTTTCTCCACCGATACTATAGAGTCGTCTCATTTATAGAGAAACTTCAACGGCTTTTACAGGAGACTCCACCACTATTTCAATTATTAGATTTTATCGTATACTTATATAAGAAAATTCAAATAGAGTCTGTATTGTTGTCTTGTTTCTTATACGAAACGAATAAGAGTTTTTTAAAGAAATTATTAAAATTATAGAATGAAGTATTCTATTTTTAGCTTGGTCATGTGTATAGTTTTTCTTGAGCAATTTGCATTATTGATAAAAGAAACTTTAGTAAATAAATATTCTTGCTTTCCATGGTATTGATTTAAAAAATCATATTTTTTTGATTATAATAGATTTATTAAAAGAATGTTTAACTCATACAATAAAAAGCTAAGTAGATGAATATTTTGAAAATTCAGGTTAAAAATTTTCTTTTCTTTTTATCTTCCTTATTCGATTCTTATCATTGATGAAAAAAAAAGAAAAAATATTCAATATAAAAAGAAAAATCTCAAAATCAAATATTATTTCTTCTTTTCTTTCATATTAAAAATGAAAAATAAACCTTCAATAAAGATGACAATGAGTATGTGTATACAAGAAAGAAAAAGAAAGGGGAAGGTATGTGTAGTTCGAGAAACGAAAGTTAAAATACAGAATAAAAGGCGAAGAAAAAAAAAAAAAAAATAATATGTGTCTCTTTTTTAATTCTGTGAAGAAAAAAAAATCGTATCACTGATTAGCTTCATTATTTGAAAGACAATGATAGACATTTAACTAAAATTTCGAAAACAAATTAATTTTAAGGTTTCTTTAAATATTAATTGATAATAAATCTTACTGTTTCTTCACACAGCAATAAGACCACGTGGATGAGAAAATGTTACCGAAGTAACGGAACTTTTTTCTGGTGCACCCATTGTAAATGTACGTCGAATACCCATAACTTTATCAGAATCAATAAATAATGAATTATTTTTAATAGCTAAATCTTGTTCTAATGTTGATTTAGTACGTAATAAATGTTGTACAGCATTTTCTTCTTGACGTAATTTACCATGGAGATCAGCAATAGTTGCATGTAAATCATGAACTTCTTGAATTAATCTAAATATTATAAGACAAAAGAAAAGAAATTTTAAATTTAGGTTTTTTTTGTTTTTTTTTTTGGTTAACCTATGCATAGCAGGATCTCGACATGCTTCAACATTTGGTCGTCTAGTACGTGTTTCAAGACGTGTTTGAGCAACTTGTAAAAATGCTTCTTTATCAGCAATAGTTTTTTTCAAAAATTCAATATTTTGTTCAACATCAAAGATTTCTTGAAGAATCTAAAATAATAAACATATTTCAATTAAATCTTTTTTTTTCAAATAATAATTAAATATAACCTTTTCAAGATGAGCTTGAATTTTATGTTTCGCTACTTGTTCTTCTTGTACACGATTTTCAAGTGAAACATTAACATGATTCCATTGTGACCACATATCATTATTACTTGCTGCCATAAGTTGATTACTAGCATTAAGTAATTCATCCGATTGAGACATTTCACTAAGTGCTCGACGAATATTTTCTTCTGTATAACGTGTCCATGTTTCAGGTACCGATACACTATTAAAAAAAAAATATATATAATCAAATCCTACAATCCATTCGCTTGTCTCATATAGAGTAGTACTTCATAGTTGTAATATTTTGATACTATGGGATACGCGCTTAATGGAGAACGTAAGAAATTATTTTCATTGACTCGATTATTATGTCTAAAGCTTTTCAACAGTCTGACTTTTTTTTTCGATGACTTTATATAATCATTTTTTTAAAAATTAGAAAGTAGGTATGCATGAAATCGGGATCTTCCTGTTCGGTCTAGACTAGGGCTGCTATCCTAGGCTAATTCATCCATGTAATATTGGTCTACGTGTCATGCAATATTATTTTCTCTAATATAACTCGAAACATATATGGTACCCCAAACTCACGATTTTCTGGAAGAGTGGATGCAAATGTATTATCTCTTCACACACAGACACTCACACTCACATCCTTTTAAGTCTTTGTTTTAATTCCCTATTTTGCAAAAGAATTTGTTATTATACTATCTTCATGAAAAAATAAATACGTATATAACTGAATAGTTTGCCCTACAGACCAGGCCGAAAAAAAGTAGTCTGTTGACGGCTTCTGTCTCGACGTCAGTTATTCAATGAAAAGAAATAGAAGAAAGCCAATAGAATATATTTCAGCGTTGACTATGATAGATCTACATACAATGAAATATATGATCCAATGATGGAAGCCTACAAGCATCCGAAAAGAAGCACCCAAACTTGACCGAATCCTATAGTGTTTCTATGATTGCTTAAGAAGCGCTTGGATAATCAAGTCAATATTCGGCATTATTATCATCAATTAAATAAGTCTCGAAAGCAGAACTAAAGTTCGGATTTGATGCGTATCTATTGACAAGAGTATAAAAATTGATAGTCGTACAAAACTTGCATTGAAGTAAAAATAAAATCGATCAAAGAAGGAAATAATAGACTTTACTAATGATTATATTATTCGTTGTTTGTTTTTTTTTCGAATATTGAACTACATAAGATCAATATACTAACGAGCTGAAACTTACGTGTTATCGACATTTTCAATGCCTTCATAAAAATTAATACCACGCGATGTTGTTTTAATATGATGAGCAGCTGAATCAAGTACACGAGCACGAAATTTATCTTGTGCATCAAGTTCTAATTCATGTAATGAAGCACGATTAAGACTTAAAAATATAAGATCATAGATTTTTAATCTATTATGATGAAAAAAATACATACGCATTTTGTGTATTAAGACGTTCAAGCATTTGTCGAAGTTTTTGTTGTGTTAATTTAATTGTATCAATTTCCTATATAAAATTTTCTTTCTGTTTCTTTTTCGTTTCTTTTTTATAATTATGAAAACGTACTCGAATAAGTTCTCGTTCAACATTATCATGTACAAGATCAATACCTAAAGTAAATAATATGTTATTTTTTTTTTTTTTTCATTAACAAAATAGATATTAAATTCTGAAAACCTTGACGTTTTTCACGTTCATATAAATTTTCTTGTGCTATACGTAATGGTTTTTCTGTTTCAGCTAATTGTCGTTCAACTTCACGTCGTTTAAATTCAACATCATCTATTTTATTTTTTAGTTTATTTTTTGTTTTTTCTAATTCATTTTTCCAATATTCAATATCATTTATACGTTCACCTAAACGTTTTGATGATTCAGCATTATTTTTAAATGATTGTTCATCTTTTTCACGTGCTAAACGTATTGCATCTGAACGTAAACGTTCAGCTGCAGAACGAATTTTATCCGATGCTAAATAATTTGTCATTTGAGCATTATGCCAATCTTTTGGTGTATAACGTGTATAAAGTGCTTGACGAGCTGATGGAAATATTGGTGGGACTTTAACATTATCAATATTATTTAAATAATTTGATGAACTAAATGGTTGAGCTGTTGAGATATTTAATGATTGTGTTGGTTCAACACGTGCTGATCGATAATATGTTGATGGACGCCATGAAAGAGAAAGTGATCGAGTTAGTAAACCAGAATATGGTGGAGCAGATGATGTTCGAGTATCAAATGTACCAATTGATGGTAAATAAGTACTTTGTTGTGGTCGACGACCCATACGAGTATATTGAGCCGTTGATGTTGAACCCATATAATCCATGTTTAAAATATCGGATGAATGAAAACTGACTAGAAAAAGAATTCATTTATCGTTGTTGTTTTGTTTTATTTTTATTTTTTAAAATCAATAAAATATTTTATTTCAAAATATTAATATGTACTCTAGTTGAATATTTTATTTTTAGATTATAAAAAAAAAGAGGTAGTGCTTTTTCCATTGGATCTACTCTTCCACTTATTCTTTTCTTTTTTTGTTTTAATATTTTTTGCTGTTATTATGACTGGTGTAGTCATATCAAAACTTCATATCAGACCTTGTATACTTGCAGTTTCATCAAGAAAAATAATAATAGTTATCAATACAGATAATAGCGGATAATGATTAGTATTTCAATGTTTTGGTTATCGAAATTCGGTGTATGCGCAAGATAAGCACGATATGTGGACTCAACATTAAAAAAAATAAAAACTCTCTTTTACATTGTAAAATCTTCACCATCTAAATGTTCTCCTCTGGGAACCAAAGAAAAAAAGTTTAAAGAATAAAATGTCGAAGCAGAAGTACGATAATTTGGATGGTAAATATTTCACAATTCAAAATAGAATTTTTGGTGTATTTTTTAATGCTAAATCCCAGATATTGTATTTATCCTGCATATATACCGAGTTTCGATAACACTTAAACGTCGAAATACTAATCATTTTCTTCCAATTTTTCTAGAGATGACTCTTATTAATTTTTTTGATGAGACTACACATATTCAAGGTCTGATAAAGTTTTTTCATATCACCACATCAACCACAACACAAAGTACTAAAACAAAAAAAAGATAAGCGGAGAGGTGTAAGCCTCAACTCGATTAGGCATTTTATTGAAGTGTTTTATATTAGAATACTTGCGTGTATATTAGATATTATATATATATATATACGTTTGATCGACACAGCACACTACACAACAGAATAAAATACTGGAGTGATTGAATGACAAAAAGAAACCCTAGTCAAAATGTGAAGAATTTTTCTCTCTCCTGCTCTCTGTCTGCCTTCTTTCTTCTTTGCTTTTTCATTGTTGTTGTGTTACCTGTAAGCGTGTATACGTTCGCGTTGTCAACTCATTTCACTCATGGCTGGCGACCATGGCTGCTACTATTACTGATGTTGCTATTGTTGTTACTGTTGATCCTCGTTGTCACAAGAAACACCCCATAATATTCTATTTTTTTTCTTTTTCTGAGAGTAAAATATAAAAAAAAGAAAAACATTCATTTTTTTTGTACTGTTCTCTCAATGACAATTATTCCAACAATGAACACAGCACCATACCTCGAACATATTTATTCAATAATGAAAATCAATCAAAAATAAAAGAAATCACCGAAAAAAAAACTTCATTTCCGATTTAGTACTTTCTATTTTTTTTCTTGCAATACTACTACGATCCATGGAAAAGATATAGAGAAAGAAATAATTTATTAATATAAAGTCTTGCATCAATCATAAATCTCTTTTTCTTTTTATTCTAAAATTGAAATGAAACAGTTTCTTGTCGAACACAAAAAAGCAGCACACTTATACGAACAAATAAATCACTTGAAACGATAGCGACGCGTGAGTAAAGTGCTTTGATGCTGTCAGTAAAATATAACAAGTTGTATCGTATAGAATGTACAAAACTATTTTTTTTTTGTATAAAACAGAAAAATATCATATGTTTGATTGTTTACATAAGAAAAAAATAATAATAATACCAGCAAAAGAAAAGATAATATTGTCAATATAACAGAAAAATATACCAAAGGTCTTTATTCTAAACAATCGTATGAAACTTTATATTATTTATATTCTTATAAAAAAAAAAAATCTTTTAAAAATCTTTTAGGCTATTTTTAACTGCTATGGGTTTATGATTGACAGATGTTTTAATGCATTAAATTTTAATTTCTATATAATACAATTGTTTGAAATAAATGATTTTTTTTTATAGCATACAAAAATTATTTATGAGATTCGGTTTAAAGAAACATTTCAACCTAGTATTTTTAATTTAATACAACATAGTTTCTTTCTTTCTGTATTCACGATGTACAAATATTCAAAAATGTACTTTTTTTATTTTTCATATACAACATTTCATACAAACCAAAACCTTTTTGATTTGCTACAATAGAATAGTTCATAAGTGTAAAGAACTTTTTTTTTTGTCATATCTTAAAATGTCGATTACATACACAATGATTGATCAATTTATTTGATTTGAAATTTCTTTTTTCTTCTAGACCAAGAAAAAACAAATGAAGCAAAAAAAAACCGTCTATGAAATTATTTATTTGAATGTTGAGAAAAGTTTTGATCTTCACTTATGTTCTAAAAGTATATTTTTTATTCTTCCGCATGTGAATAGAAGCACTTTAATATGATTGCAGTTATTTCCGGATCATGCGAATCACTTTAAAAAAAAAAAAAAAAAAGAAAAAATAATTTCTTTTCTTTTAATGACAAAAGTCATAAATATACGTTTTATTTGTTTCTAAGAAAAACAAACTGTAACTCGTTGTCTACTCAATTAATATTTAGATTATAATTTAATTTCAGAAAAATTAGCGATATAACTTCCTCCTTGCACATAAACACATTATCTTATCACAACTATACATACAAAATTCACGAACAACAAAAAGTAACATATATACTTATTCAAAATAAGAATTAGTTTTTTTTTTCTTTGCAGAATATTAGAAGATATTTCCATAATGTGAACAAAATAATATGTAATAGTACAATTGAATGAAGAAAAGCGGATGTGTTATAAAATAGGAATAAAATAGAAGTCGGAATGTTAAGTCAAAAGATCACACGTATTACTGTTGTTTTCCAATTGCAGCACTTGTAACAGCCCGATACCATCCAGCAACATCAACAGACTGTTCTTTTGAGTGAATAAAAAATGGATGAAGTACTAATGCACCATATTTTGGTCTTTGTTGATAATCTTTAATTAAACTACAAAAAAAAAAGAATTAAAACAAAAACAATGAGAATTATCAAATAGAATATAATAAACATAAAATTTACCATTTATTAACAAAAGATCGAAAATTATCAGAAAATGAAAGATGAGAAGGTAATTGAGGAGCATCTTCTGTAACAATACGTGCCATAACACTAAAATCATTTTCACAATTTGAATATGGATGTGTGTTAGTAGCAAGTTCAATCTAAATAAATCTTTATCTGTTTTATGTATATAATTATTAAAAAAAAAAAAATATCAACAATTTTCAAAAACCAGAAGACAAATAAAATTCGTTAAGATCATTTGCAACATATTAACAAATCACACAATTGTTTAGATTTATGTTATTTTGCAAGATACCTAATTCGAATCGCTGATAATAGATCCGTCTTCAATCTGTTTGATTAAATATAGAGCAGACAAAACTACAAAATCACCTTAATACTTTTTAAAAGCTTCCACACTGAGAAATTCATCTTGAACCAAGTGCATTCAAATCACATGAAATTTTCAGGTCATGTTAGGGCTATAGTAGGAAGTTCATTGTAAAATTTTCAGGTCTATAACGTAATGTTTTCAGGAGATATTCAATCAACAAAGATAAATCATAGTGTATTGGACACAGGGAATTGCGAGACCACCTTTGTTTTTTTTTTTTGGTTTCACCGAAACCAGAACTATTTTACAGTTCTATAATTTAGCAACCCGAAATTTTCTGCAGGTCACCAACTCTAGATTTCATTTTTTCTTTTATATCACAGAACATGTCAGATTGTAGTGCTCGTTTTTTCTAAAATTCTTACTTTTCATGTGGAGAAAAAGGCTGAGAAGTTCAATACCTTGAAACATGGTCATCTATTTATAGAAGTGCTTATTTTATATAATAAAAAAGAAAAGCTTAATTCAAAGGACGAGCTTCACAGCTTCATCTGCTCTTTCAAGCAAACAAAAAAAAAGCAATTAGTTACAATGAAGCTCCTCCGAGAATTTTGAGATGCACGATTACACAAGCATATTTTTCAAGCAGAAAATGAACGGAAACTAACTAAAATTTTTCGAAAAAGAAAATGAGAGCACAAATAAAAAGTCACGCCACTTATAAAAGATTAAATCTCTAGTTATTTTCCCATGTATTTATTCCGATTTCAATTTTTCTAACAAACATTGACTTTCTTTCTTTCTTTCTAGAGAGATTTCATATTCTTATATAATACTTTTACTTCACTCACAAGTGAAATTCCTAAACTCCAAATATCAGCTCGTATATCATAATCAGGTTTTTCTGGATTCGATGGATTAATACGTTCTGGTGACATATATGCAGCACAGCCAGCATTTCTTGATTTAGCCCTTGAGTCAATAAGTACACCACTAATACCAAAATCACATAATTTAATATTTCCATTTTCATCAATTAATATATTCGATGGTTTAACATCTAAAACAATAACAACAAAACAATTTCAAACTCGTATTTATATATATATATATATTAAATAATACTCACCTCGATGTATAATACCATGTTTTTCTTTTAAATAACTCAATGCAGTAACTGTCTAAAACAAAAAAAAACGATTAAATAGTAATATAATAGTTTTGACATTTACCGAAAATGTTAATTTTCCAAGAATAGATTCAGGTATAGGTTGTCGAATTAGTCTAAGAAGTTTATCAAAACAAGATGCCATTAATTCCATGCATATCCAAACTTCTGTCTATAGGAGAAGAAATGAATGAAATAAAATAATAATTTTTTTTTTTTTTTTTATTGTTTATATTACTTGTCTAATGAAATAACCAAGACAACAAACAATATATGGAAAATTATAACTTTTTACAAGAACATCTAAATCCATAATAATTCGTTTATTTTCTTCATTTGATGCTGTTCGAGGCATAACCTAGAGTGTATAAAAATTTAAAAGGAAAAAATTACTATACAATATTTCAAAAAAAAAAAAAATAAAGATAAATACTTTAACAGCTAATATCATTTTACTTGGTTTATGTTCCATTTTGAATACTGAACCACATGAACCAGAACCAAGTAAATATTCTTTTACAAAATCTTTTTGTTCGATAAATTTGTCCTATAAAAGAATGTGAATAGATAAATATTTATTTTTATGAAAGGAATTTTAAAAAATTCTTTAACAAAAAATTTTATCTTTAAGCATAGCTTAAGAAAAATCAGAAAGTTTTTAGACAAAAATGTTTGTTCACTTTTCATGTGCTACGAAGTATTAAAATGTATGAGTTCGGATGCTCTTTTCTAATATGGGCTTAGAAATAGTTTTTGTTCGAAAGTAGCAAAACTAATCTTTGAAAAGCCGAAAAAATTACTTTCACTATTGCAATTCAAAACTAAAAGTTCGAATCTTTATTTATATATCAACTTGTAGATTAGAAACTATCCTACGAAATACACAATTTTTGTTGTTTCTCGACAAGTCACGTGAATTTTCGTTTTTCCTAAATACTCATTTTTGAACAACCAATAACTCTTTTTACATTGAAAGAAGCTCTTGTACAGCTTAGTTTCATATGACAATTTCTCGAGAAATGTCCGATCTACAAGACGACTGACTTCAACAAGTTTTATTTTATTTGTAAAGAGAGAATTATAGAATAAACAGAAACATATTGGTTCGCAAGTAAAAATAAATTTTTCAGGTCTTTCAATAGGCCTCTCATTACGTTTGAACCAATATAGACAAAAGGTTTTAAAATCTTTTTTTCGAAAAGAGCATCTTAACTCATAGTTTTTTATAGTTTCTAGCGGTTCAAAACTGAACAAACATTGTATTTGCTAATAAAGGAATCGTATGATCTACAGATATAGTTAAACCGTTTATATAAACATAATGATTCCTTGATGAAATATAAAATATGTTAAGATATATTAAATTGAATAAGAATCTTTCGTGAAAAATTAATACAGGAATAAAAATTTTTCCATATTTACTGAAATTTTTAATATTTCTTAGACTTTTATGCGATCTTTTCGTAGATAAATATTTCAATAGAAAAAATTAAGTTTTAGTGTTTTACAAAATATTTTTTAAAATTAAGACATAAACCTATTGTCGAACGAATCTTTCATCTCTATTGTTTTTCTCTTGAGAATAATAAGTACGAAAATAATAATTTTCAATATCTACCTCTCCATCAATATGAAATAAACCAGAATTTTGAAGCACCTCTTGATATTTAGCTCGTGTAAGTTCACTAAAACAAAAATTGATTCTTTTATCAAATAGAATAATTTCTTTTACCTGGTAAGATCTACAGTTGGTTGTGCTGATGAAATAGGTAAATCAATAAAACCTTTACGTGTTGATGAAGAACTACCTAAACTAGCTAAAAAAGAATAAAGAAACAAATATTTATTTAAATAAATACGACAATCATGTAGCCTCACTAGGTGTTGGTTTCGGTTGTTTTCCACTCACGTTTGTACTTTGATCAGAGGATACTGTGTTCCCAATGATTGGAGTCAATTTACGTCTAAGTGATTCTATTTGATTAGATAAATTTGAAACGCCAGCATGATCACTTTCTGGTGTTGTTGATGATGATGATGATGGTGGTGGTAGTGGTGACAATCGCATTACTTACATTGACTAATTCACTCAATATTTTTGTTTCAATATCATGTGTAAACTTTGATGTCGAACCAACGAAGTAGGCCATTAATTGACAAGCGCTAAAAATGATAAAATTGATTAACATAGATTGTAGCGCAACAAAAATTATTTCTAGAGGTTGATATCTTCATTTTTATTTGTTATATTATTTTAACTGTCCTATAGTATACTGACGAAGGTTTCTTTCTTTCTTCGGCATTGTTTCTCGTTCTACTACGTCATGTAATTTTTCTTTTTATTTGTTAATACGTTTTTTGTCCTTCGTATATATATGGTAAGAAAAATGTATAAAATAATTATAGATATACATATAAAAAGAATTTAAAAAATGTCTGAAACCTTCTCTCTATAAATTCCATGATAAAAATGAAAGAACAAAGTTTATTATGTATAAAATTTGTTGCTTAGTATGGTTTATTACGCAGAACCAAAAAATCAATATAAACTCCAATCGTAAATTCTAAACGCCAGATGATTCTATAATGATCATCGAAAGAAAAGCAAAAGATCAATATTGAGAAAAAAAAACAAAACCGGAAAAAAAAAAGAAAATTATAAATAATAGAATTATCTTTCAAATATGTAGATATACTAAATCATCTGGCATATTTGACATTCTATTCTTATATCTATTTATTATTATTCACATTATTAGAAAAATATATCATCATTTCGTTTTGTTTTTTTTCATTTCAAAGTTGTAATCTGAAATTTCTTCCATTATGTCGGACAATTGTGTTGTTATTGAACCTTCAGCTTTATCGGTAGGATCAATAAAAAAAAAAAAAAAAAACATGATTATTGGAGATTTATGAGTTTGTTTTTTTAAATTTTGTAGGAGTTTCGTTCAAAACGTGCCCGTCATGATAGTTATCAACGAATTAGTAAGTTTATTTGAATAAGAAGTATTTTAAAACACAACTTAAAACTAAAAATAAAAAAAAAAAAAATTTCTTTTTCATAATTAGATTCTGATGAAGTTTATCAATCATTTTTTATAACACATTCATGTTATGATTGCATGCCAAAAAGTGGAAAAGTTCTTTTACTTGATGCACGTTTATCAATACGTAAAGCTTTTTTTGCGCTTGTTTATAATAGTGTTCGAGCCGCACTCGTTTGGCATGCAGCAACATCATCAAATATTGGTTTAATTACCATAAGTGATTTTATTAATATGCTTATCGCTGCTTACGATTCAAAATGGGTAAGAAGGATTTTATTTTTATTTAGAGATAAAATTTTGTCATTATAAAATCATGCAAAAAAAAGTTCTTTTTTTTTTCTTGAACTATGTCAAGTTACTTAATTGTAGTCATTGATTAAGGAAGAAAAAAGGTGAATAAGTAAAAACAAATTGCACTCAAAAAAATTGTTAATTTTCTATTGTAAAATTTACTATATGTTAGATATTAATACAAAAGAGACTACTATTGGCAAACAAAATTTCATAAAAATGAAAAAGATTTTATTATTTAATACTTGTATTTTTCTATGATGTATTCGATTATGCGAAATAAATCTTAATAACAAAAATAAAAAAATATGATAATTTATTTGTTTTGTACCACGAACAAAAAAAACAATATGATTATTCATCTATACTACCTACTTTTTATATATTTCAAGGACTATACCTCTCAATCCAGATAGAAAATAATTTATTTAATGTGTAATCTTATATTGCATGATTTATGCAATGCTTTTCTTTTCAGAATAATACATCAAGCAGAATCAAATATTGACGTTTATGCTGAAACTCATAATTTTAATCTCTTAATAGACAAATGCTTTGTTCCTATTTTCATAGATAATAAGATAAAAGGTACTTCTCCATGTCAGTAACACCCACACTCATTGGTATATTCTGTAAATAAGACCAATTAGTATATCGAGTGCTGCCAATCTGTAGAACATCCAAACAATGGATATATTATATATAATTTTCTAGAGAACAAAGCATACTAACGTCATCTTGAAAATATCAATTGTGGTTATATTAAAGTGTTTTTTTCGGTAGAGTCTGTCACGATAGTCTCGCACTCGGTTGGACTCTACCGTACACATTTCTCAGGCAAGTTGTCTGAGAAATGTATAAGATGTACTAGTCAACGAATATAAAAAGCTAGAGAAAAATATCTCGTATCTTCAGGGCGACTATCCTATTCCGGTTAGAAAATTCCATTGAACGTATTAAGCCCCCCCCCCCCCCCCCCCCCCCCCCCCCCCCCCCCCCCCCCCCCCCCCAGCCCGCCCGGCGCCCCGCACAGTCAGAGTGATCGAATGTTCAGAATCTGTTTGCGGTGGGTGGGGG